ATTTTTCTTGCTCTGTTACTGTTCAAAATTTCCTCACACAGAAGGCAAAAAGCTTGCTTCTCAATGGAATTGGAGATAACTTGTATCAAAGAATTCATCACCTTGAAGAATATTCAAGTAGGCTTTTGAATGGCAGAGCTACAAGGAAACACTATTCCAGGATAATCTTTTTCTCAAAAGAGTTTGCCAAAAATTACTGTTACAGAGAACTGCAAGACGCTGTGCCATTTACATATGACGGCCCTTTTGCTTTTCTCCTGACTACAAAAGTTGTTAAAGAATAAAAATTAAAGGAAAAATCAAATCTGAAAACCTTATAATTCAGGTACCCATTATTCCACAAATAATTTTCCAGCCAAATGGAACAAGCCAAAAATCTACTTTCACATGCATTTCAATGCACCTTACACATATAAATTACTTAGCTTCCCATTGAAAAAGAATAAAAGCAAGCCTCTTCATTAAAGAACTATTTTATGGAGTTTTTAAACAAAAAAAACCCACAAAAAGTGTTTTCTTAATAACAGTATGATCCAAGATCAATTTAACTACCAAAAGCAGATATTTTTAAAGAATTTTTTTTCTTAATGCAAATCCACAAAGCTTTCAGAACTGTAAAATCAGACGGAATGGGTAATTCAGGGAAAAAAAAAGTTTGAAAATATCAATAATAAAGCATTTCTATTTTTTGGCATGAGTACTTTGGGGACACGAGGGATAATGCCGTGTCTTTTAACTTGATATTCTTCAAAGAAGGTACATTCAGCTCCTAAAATTTTGTCTTTCATTTATCACTAGTCTCCGTTTCTGTGACAACAGACCTTAGGAACAGTGAATCAGATATTCAGTGATGTAACTTCATACAGTTTACATTGGAGTGAATTGAAATATGCCAATTTAAACTTGCTGAGGATCTGGCACAGCAGCTGACTGAATTTCAGTCAGCTTAAAGCATAAAACTGCTGCATGCCAAAGATTTACTTAATCTATATCAAAGGTTTTAAAGCAGACATCTCCTGAACAGCAATATCACAGTTTAAAATGGAGACAAAGTTATTCATACTCAGTGTAATACAATACAAAATTTTACAAATTATCCATAACCTAGGGAGTTGGGGATATCAAAGTTTCTCTTTCAGTGTTTCCTTTTTTAATCACTAATTGCTTTAAAAAAAAAAAAAAGTATAGATGTGTATTATTATTAAGTTTTAAAACTTTGGAAAGAAAGCTCTCCCATAATGAATCTCCCAGCGGTATCCACATAATTTTGTTGATTAAAAGATTCAATATGTGAAATAAAGATTGCTTTGCAAGTTAAAAACATTATTTTATTTTGCATTGTGTACAAATGCAGTCCTACTTACATACTGCAGCTTTTAATAGGCGTAGCATTTTTCAGCTGAGATTTAAATTGAAGCAAAAGTAAGGTTCAAGTATAAGTTAATTAGCTGCTCATGACTTCTTACATTTCATATCTGAATCAGGTTGCCCTCAGACCAAGTCATACTCATGTCTTCTTCCAACCATTCCAGTTTTATCAGTATCTCTCTCTCGTATTTTCTCACTTGCCCTTGCCTCTCCTTGACTGCATGTCCTGCTGTGACAGACCAGCTTTCTACAATCACATGGTTCTTACACTATTGGACTAGGAAGAAAATCAAAGTGATGTTCCAAACTACTTTAATGCTTCCAGCACATAAACGTCTATTAATTTGCAATTAACTAAATCTATATTTGTACATCTAGAGAGACCGAAGTCTTACAAACAATAATTATTATAAATTGTAAGATGCTACTTACAGCTCCTCTTTACCCTGCTGCTTTTGTAATGATTTTCCTACATTGCAATTATTAAAAAGACTTTAAAAAGGTCATGAAGTACTTACTAAACTATTGTTTATAAAATGTATACAAAATACAGAATAGCTAAATATATATTCTGTTGCAAAGAATTCTCCTTCACTACAGAAGTACCTACATTTTAAACTAATAAATACCCAATAACTATATCCACACATGTGTATTTTCTATACACACAATAGTATAGAACAGTTTAAAACAAATGAGTTTCAGATCTGAACACAAAAATGGCATTACAGTACACTCTAAAGAGGAAGCATATAAATAGGCCCTCCAAAAATTACATAGAAAATTATTTCCGTTTTATACCAAAACCACTAAACTAGATTATGTTTTCTTTAGTCATTAAGATACATAATAGTAAACTTAACAGTATGGCTTTGGTTTCAAGAACATTTTGTAACCCTACAGGCAGTCACTATACATCAACCAAGTGTCTCAAATGTTATCCTCAAGTATACTGATCAGCTTGTCCCAGAAAAGAACAGTAGAAATTTTAAAATAATTGGGTCATCTTTGCTACGGATTGTGCAGATAAGGACTTTATTGCTGTTTTCCTTTATGCAGCACTATGCATGAATACATGTTATAGGTTCTTTTAAACTATTTTCTATATTGCAATCATATTGAATGTAACAAACACGGAAGAAGTGCTTATTCTTTACTCAAATAAATGTAGAGGGGAAACCTGTAGTAAACATTTACAACTTCAGACTACATTTTCCCCAAAGTATAATTGGTTTATCAAGTTGGATCCAGATTTTGAGTATAGCTTCATTGAAAGCATTTATATATTGTCTAGACCGCTTTTTACCCCAATTTTCCTAAAGTCAAATAAAGAAATGTTATCAGATGCTCTTATGAGCAGTGTTAACTGCAATAAATATGAAATTGAAGAGATATTGGCACTGCCAAGTTGGGTTCTTTTGTAGGTGTTGAGCAAATAAAATAGCTTCAGTGGAACTCTGTTTATTTGACTATTTAAGTCTCTATTTCTCTGCACTGTGAATTATTTCCCTATACAAAATACTTTGCGTGAAATAGTTCAGTGTCCAGAAACTCTTTGAAAGCATACTTTTTTCTCTGTTCAACATATAAGAGTTAAATATTACAAGGAGCATTTTTTAAAAGCAGACTTTGGTAGCATATGTAAATAACAAGGTACACACCAATTAAAAAAAACCCTAAATCAGCAACAAGGAGAAAAAACAACAGTAGTTAGAACTGCCCAAAATCATCCTAGTAACAATGTTTCACTGAACTTGGGTAAGATTCATCTTATTTATCTTGGATAACTACCCTGGAGACTCACAGTTAAGCTTAGGAAGTGTGGGTTAGGTGAGTGGACAGTGAGTTGGATTGAGAACTGGCTGAAGGGCAGAGCTCAGAGGGTTGTGATCAGCGGTGCAGAGTCTAGTTGGAGGCCAGCAGCTAGCGGTATTCCCCAGAGGTCAGTACTGGGTCCAGTCTTGTTCAACATATTCATCAACAACCTGGATGAGGGGACAGAGTGTACCCTCAGCGAGTTTGCTGATGATACAAAACTGGGAGGAGTGGCTGACACACCAGAAGGCTGTGCTGCCATTCAGTGAGACCTGGACAGGCTGGAGAGTTGGGCAGAGAGGAATCTAATGAAGTTCTACAAGAGCAAGCGTAGGGTCCTGCACCTAGGGAGTAATAACCCCATACACTGGTACAGGTTAGGGCCTGACCTGCTGGAAGGCAGCTCTACAGAGAGGGACTTGGGAGTCCTGGTGGACAATAAATTGACCATGAGCCAGCAAGGTGCCCTTGTGGCCAAGAAGGCCAATGGTATCCTGGGGTGCATTACAAACAGCACGGCCAGCAGGTCGAGGGAGGTCATCCTCCCCCTCTATTCTGCCCTGGTGAGGCCACATCTGGAGTATTGTGTCCAGTTCTGGGGCCCCCAGTTCAAGAAGGACAGGGAACTACTGGAGAGTGTCCAGCAAAGGGCTACAAAGATGATCAAGGGAATAGAGCATCTCTCTTATGAGGAAAGGCTGAGAGAGCTGGGTGTGTTTAGTCTGGAGAAGATTGAGAGGGGGTCTTACCAATGCTTATCAATATCTAAAAGGTGGGTGTCAAGAGGATGGGGCCAGACTCTTTTCAGTGGTGCCCAGCGACAGGACAAGGGGCAATGGGCACAAGCTGGAACACAGGAAATTCCACCTCAGCATGAGGAAAAACTTCTTTACCTTGAGGGTGACAAAGCGCTGGAACAGGCTGCCCAGAGAGGTTGTGGAGTCTCCTTCTCTGGAGATAGTCAAAACCCACCTGGATGCACTCCTGTCCAACCTGCTCTAGATGAACCTGCTTTGGCAGAGGGGTTGGACTAAATGATGTCCAAAAGTCCTTTCCAACCCCTACCATGCTGTGGTTCTGGGAGACTTCTACCTTGTAACTAGCATTTCCTTGGCTAGCTTGGGCAAACTATGGTCAGTGTGCTGCATTTAGTGAACCTGTTTGAATGAATGTCACTCTCTCACAGTGTTGCTCAGGAAGCTTGAGCGTCTAATTCAGGGCTGAGAATTCACTTAGAAGGCAAAGCTTCTGAAATTTAAGAGCAGGCAGGCTCAGCATTGAAGCCTAATCTTTTTTTCTAGATCTAGCCTGAAGTCTTTCAATTAAGAATCAAATGAGGATGCCATTTTAAGGCATCCGTTTATAAAATTTACATTTTTCAAGTAGCCACATACCTAGATACATCCTGCACTGTAGATGAAATACACACAAATTGTAACATTCATCCATGAAGTAAATACATATTTATAAAGACCCCTGACCATCTTCTTAAGACTCTCCTATCAAATTGATTTTAAAGAGCAAATCCAAAATATTTTATAGTGTTAGCAATAGAACTTTTAGAATCTGAGGAATAAATCATAAAAAAATAAGGTTAAAATGAAAAGCATTAGGAAAGATTTTCCACCTAGTACACACCAATATAGCTATAAAGTGAAGAGAGCAGGGAAATTACTTAAATGCCAGCAGAAAAAAAAAAGCTTACTGAAAAGCCTTTAAAAGCCTATGTTTAAGTATGAAGTATTTTCTATTTTGCCTTTCACTACCCTTTGGAATATAAAACTAGGTCAAGTTAAAAAAGTTAGGAAAATCATTACCTGAGAATAATCTTCTGCATTTGAGTGTCTTCCACTTTGATTCATATCCACGTTACTGTCGTTTACATTTTCATCACTTTCAGTAACAGAAGGGAGACGGGATAGGGAATTAAATCCTTTTTTGATGGTAGACTGTGGAAAGTGGCTAAATAATAAAAGAAAATTCAAAAACTTTAATATATACATTTACTCTCAAATTACAGCCTTCATAACGACTATTCTTAACAGAATTTTGTCAAAATAATTTGTGCCTCCTATATTTTGGCAGCTTAATAGCGCAGCACAAAAAATATATTTACATATATTCCTATCATTACTGGTATGGCACTACACACATATCTATGCTTGAAAGACCTGAACTGTTGCCCTCTTATCTAATGCTCAAAAAACCAAAGCCCAAGTCACTTGAGGAAAACTAGATGATAATGTCAAAAGTGAATACATTTCTACAGTCCCTAGACAAGAAAATTTTGTAATGTGTGCTACTTAAAGAGAGGTAGGGCAAGAAAAAGTGTTTTGTGTCAGAACAGTTTTTTGTCTTTTCCCTCAAAATGGGTCTCCATAGCTACCAGACAGCTAAAACACACAATAACCAAGGAAACCTGTGCAAGGCCTATTCTGGATAGAGTATAAGAAAGCTCCGTTGCTTTGAGTGGAGGCAAAAGTAAAAACTGATGGACGTAAAAATAACTCGTTACTTGTTAAGAGAACTAAGAGAACAAGATCAAAACAATGTTGCACACATGCCAATTAGACATAAATACCTAATTGTGCTGTTGCAGCAATAAAAAACAGAGAAAAATGTAAGCATGTGTTATCTAACCCCCCTTAAGGATTGCGATAATGAAATATCTTTAGCAGTAACACAGTCACAATTATCTTCCCTTTGACTCTTTCAGAAGATTTTATTAGAATAAAAGCAAGAGATTAAAAACTGTTTCAGTCCCAATTGTGTATCTAAGTCCCTTATCTTATTTAGGCAGCTATATTACTTTAATGATATGCTAATATTTGCTACATATTTTTGGTGACTACCTGTTAATTAAATCACAAGAGATTAAATGAGCTGATTGTCATGGAAACTTAGCACATTAAATAAACTGTCCTTGACAAAATGCGGTAAGTTGACCATGAAGCAATCCATTAAATACAAAAAACCCCAATATAAGATATGTTAACATGCAAATACTGCAAAATCTTCATTCTTATTCTCTCATTCTTTTAATAACCTATTAATAGATATTGCTTAGAGTATTTTTATGTATTTTTGCTGCTACTATTTGAAAACACACAGTAAGTAATTTAATGTATTTTTAACCAGTAAAATGCAGCTGTATCAGCAAAACAATGATATTCCCAGAATATCCCAGGATATTCCAAGGTCATTTCTTCCATGGACAAATATTGCTGTTCCAAAAAAAAAATCCAACTAGTTTATTATCAACCCATGCAATCATGATGAACAAAATGCAGAATCTGTCAAGTATGTAATTTATTCAGTTTACTTAGAGATGTATGTAACAAAAGGTGTACACACCTTAAACAAATAAACACACCTCTAGCAATTTACAAACTGTTGTTGCAGTCAGGCTGGAAAAAAGAAATATCCTCCAAAATAACATAAACCTTTTGGTGCTCACTTTGTTATGTGATACATTCACTGCTTCCTCTGTCAGCTTGCTCATTCAGAATAAAGGAGAAGAGATTAATAATTCTAGCAGTTGTCTACCAAACGTTCACATTATAAACTGAAGCCTGACAGTAACGTAGTATGCAGTGGGTCACAGTAAAAAATACAAGGACTTAATAAATTTAATGGTAATCCTTCTTTTCTCGTCAGTGAGCAAGTATTACGCTGAACGTTGAACATTGACTAAAAGTGGTGTATACATCAATTTCTGAAACTTCTTTAAGACACCCTGTTTAAATACCCTGGTTTTCAGGGGTTTATAGGACTTCCAAACAGTCTTTAACACAAGGCATTTATATAAAGTCATGTTCTGAGCATGAGCTGCTTCACCTGCACTCTCAAGCTTCTTGTAACAACTATAATGAACAGAGAATAGCCTGTTTTATTCATAAACATTAACATTAATTACTCTGTGCCAAATACGCGACGCCCATGAAAGTACTGACTGGCCAGTCCATGACTGCCTCGTTATGTGCAAGGATTGAAAAAGACCTGTAGTTTGAGGAAATAATTGAAAGATATCAAAGAATATTCCTATCTCTGTTGAATATCCTACATCTTTGCACCCACAGTATAGAAAAAGGCAAAGTGTTTTTGCGTGACAGATTTCCCTGCCCTTCCATGTCAGATGCCCTGAGAAGTGTGCATCCAAACAGGGGACTATCCATACAGGGTGTGACAAGTAGGGACTCACCGCTCAGGTGTGTGCATGCCCACCTGCTGATGGGCTTTCTCACCAGTGCATAGATTAGCAGATTATAGGGAGCAGCATATAAAGTTTACAGCATCCCAACTTGCATCTCCAACAGGAGGTGTGTGCAAGTAGAAGAACCTGCACTCCCTAAAGAGAAGGTGTGCTCGTAACCAAGAATGCCAGGAGGAAGCGTATAATTGCATGTGTATTTCTCTGAGCGTGATTAGAATTTTTGGGGATTAGTTACAGAAAGGCGTTCAGAAGTTTGTAGGTGTTTATTAACATTTTGCAAGCATCTGGTATAGTGGTTTATCTGTGTACTGCTGATACTGATCCTAAATGTACAATTCACTGATTGACAATTAATTGTGTGACATCAATAGAACAAGAGAGCGGTCTGATCCTGATGTGCTTTAAACTACATGAATTGAGCAGTGTTGCCCTGTGACACAAGTAAACATATGTCATTGTGGTTTCACAGTGAAATGGACCAACGATAGGATGTTAAGGCTGAAACTACATTGAATACTTACATGTCTGTGGGTATTGGGATAAGATTCAATTTGTAATTAAAAAACAGGCTAGCAATCTCAACATGTTCTTCAGGTTTCTTTACCACAGTCTCTGGAAAAAAGCAGCAACTTGTTAAATATATATTCATAAGAAATATTTAATACTATAATATTGGCAAACAATTTCCCTAGTGGATTCATCACCCCTAAATAATTCTATTCTCCAAGTATCATCACGTATGCTTGAATGGAAGAGAAAAACAAGGGATGGCTTTAGTGACATATGAAAGAATTAACACTCTGATGCTCAGCCTGCAAGGTATTAAAAGTGTTCTTAACATATATGCAAGATCATCCAAGGTAGCTCAGAACAACTATGGCAGCACATTCTGCCTTTGCTAATTTCCTCTGTTTCTGATCCCCAAATATTTTGCTAGCATGCCTCTAACAGTTTCATAGTCAAGCTATCTCATATCATGCATTTAACTCCATTGTGCAGTATAGACAAACCCTAGAACAATGAGTTGTTGCAGCAGGACTAGTCACGTACTTTAAAGGTTTAAAAGGTGTTCAGAAGCTTTCATGGCTTTGCATCAGAGAGCTTCTGCGTTGCTTTGATAACTCTCCCTCTTCATTTTCTCCAGTAGAGTGCCTTTTCAGAGATAAATTAAGACACTTCTCAAAGCATTTAAGAAATAATAAGGCTAAGGTGAAGTAATGCAAAATTGGCAAAAAAAAAAAAAAAAAAAAAGAGTAATCCCTAGGGAAGTTCTATGGAAATTAAGCTAACAGACCATAAGTAGGGCTCTGAAAATGTTTATAATAATTAAAATGTAATTACAAATTTATTTTGGAGGTTTGAGTAGACAAACCTTGAGGTTCAGATGTCACAACAGTTTCCTTTTTCTGACGGAAAAGCTTCCAACGAGGAATTGGTGGTGGCTGTGGCGGTGCTACCAGAGGACAGGACCTAGTTCTAGTAATCAGGACAGGATGGCTGTATATGTGGGAAAGCCCATATTGCCTCAGCTTCTCTGAAGAATCAGCCTATGAAACATAGAAAGATAATCTCACTGGGGTTAGCTCTCATTTCTCATTGTATCTCTCTCTCAAAAAAGAACAGTATGTACACAAAAGCATCTAACAACTTGGACAACAAAAGAAGCAAAAATCATTCTGCTGACAAGGCTATCCAAAAACATTCTAAATAGGATTTGATATTCAGCAGAAAAAGTATAACTGAATAGTTAGGAGCATTTACATAGATTTTACTTTTCATAACAGATTCATCACTTCTTTCAACTTATTTATATAACCATATTCTTTTAGGTGCTGCAGAAAACTTGTAAGTGAAGCAGAATGAAGATGTAAGAAAACAACAATGAAAACATTTTGTTTTAAATAAAGATTTTAAAATATTTTTTTCTGAGGAAAAAGTCCTTACTTCTTGCTGAATTTATAAAGTGGCAGAAATCTAAAAGCAGCTGGTCTTTTAGATAACTTGTGAAATGTCCTTAATGTAGTATCTTTTTGAAGCAATACATCATTAAAGTTAAGATTTTTATCTGCTGGCTAATTTAGAAAACACATTAAAGGCACTACAATTGACGCATATACCAAAGCCCTTAGCAATAGACTTAAGAGCAATTTTAAATGTGGACATTGAGTGGTGCTCTTCCCATTAAAATAATAATAGTCCAGTACTTAACATTTTTCACTACTGAAAGTTCTATTATAAGATTTGTACATCCTTTTTATTTTAAAAATACATCTTCTTTCACTTGCTAAATAAATCACCCATAACTTATTTCTTGAACATGTTCATCAGCAAGTCTCTTATTGCTCCTGCTCACTGTCAAATGTTCCTGAGGTTCTATAATTAAAAACTGTAGAGAATAATGTAGTTGGGGTTCTTTAAAGGGAGACAATCAAATTAAACACATTAAGGTACACAAGGAATATATCAGCCCCATTTGATCTCTGCGTTTATAAAGATATATTACAGGAGTGGTGACCAGGTCCACACATACTCAACTTAGAAATGCCAGTTAAAACCTCCAAGATTATAAAGGATTTTGAAGACGACCAGCTAGGTCCCATAAAAGAGAACTTGTCAGCTGCTGAGTACGAAACACACCTGAATGACCCAGCTATTGATTTTTTTCATTTTATTTGAGCAAACTTAAGACAATTAAATTCAAGCCACATCAATCCAAGGACATACACAGTAGAAAGTAAAGCAAAAAAGGATACTGCAAAAATTCTGGTGGGAAATTCTGCCACAACTGCAACCAATGACAAAATTCCCTCCAAATTTAGGGAGAAACTCTTATACCAAACAATGAATCCACTCTTCCAAACTTTATTTATATAGATGTAGTACTTCTCAGCCCCCAAAGAAAGCTTGAAAATGAGCTCTTTTAACTGAGGCCCACAAGAAATCCACTACAGTTCTTTATTTAATTTCTGTCAACTTCCTTTTTTCTATCAGTCTAAAATACTTTTTTTAGTCATATAGATTCATCTGCCTCATCCTATTTGGCCTCCCATGCCTCTTTTTCAGCAACCCCTGTACCCTAACAGACTGAAGCTAATTTTGAGACTCAAAGCCTTAGGTAGTAGGAAAGATATAACCCTACGTCACCATTTCCAGGTTGCTGTTTGATGACTGGTATTGCTTGTTATTAGCAATAATATTGTCTGAGACCCAAAATTAATATAAATAAAAATAAAATCACAGAGAACAAGCTAGTCTTCAAAACAGCATAAAATGCACAGCACAATTTTTAAAAAGAAAATAGTGAAAATTAAGAGCAGAAAAGCACAACACCTGCAAACCATTTCTGGAAATTTCTTTATTTTATGAAGCCTATCAGTTTTATGAGAAGGCAGCTTAAATTTTAATGTTCTAATTATCATAAATATGATTTAAAAGCACAAAAATTAAATCTAATTAATAATCAACTCAAGAAAGCCTGCTCTGGCATTATAAATACCTTTCTGTAGAGTGTGAGTGACTAAGTGGAAATTTAAGCATTGTTTTTACCCAAGCTGCATGAAGTGCTACACTGTCTCCAGCTGCTTTCACCAGTTACAACACCAATGATAGAAATGGATAGAAACATGCTATTTCTTATAGAACAACATATCAGAAAATGTATATCAGAGAAGTCACTAATTCTAGTCTGAAAAAAATTGAAATTCATGTTTTTTCAAGTAGCCCTTAAAATAATTAGTCTTTCCATTCAGAAGTATCGCATGATGATGCATTTTCTAGTCCAAATTTAGCCTCTCCCAGGAGACTTCAACTCCTGGGATCCAGAGGAAAGTGGAGTAAAACTGAAAAAATGAGCAGGGCTGTGGCAGGAAAATGCATGATCAGAATACAGAAGTACCGAAATGTAAATGTAACTGATAGTGATTACTTGGTGACTGTTTCACTATAATAACTTTATTATTTCTGTTACAATGTAGTTGCTACAAAATAGAACACCCTGATAATAAAATATGTAATGCTTTCCTGTCCTGGCAGCATAGAATCTTACCATCTGCCCTAATGAAAAAATATCCTCTTCAAACAAATGTAGTGGTATACAGCCAGCATACACGGCCATTTCTGGCTGGGTTGGCACAGAAGACTCTACAGAGAAAATATTAACATGCTTTAGAACAGGGTAAACAGTAAATAAACGTTGTTCTATTTTTCCATAAATTATTCTGCTTTGTCTGCCTTAATTTTATTACTCTCTTCTTTGTCTGACTGTTATGTCAAGTCAAAACAAGAGCTCACTGGAAAGTACTTGGAAAAGAAGCCATGGATGGAAAATCCACATTGTTTTTTAATCCTTGCCTATTTAGACCATCAACAACTTTTGGATATTTTACTTCTTTTACACAAATGTATAACAGAACTGCGACTTAGAAATACTATAGGACAGCTCTCACCATTGTTCTTTTGTTTTTCTTCAAATTTTGAAAATACTAAATACTAGCATGAAGAACACGATACACATCGTCTGGGTAGATAAAGTAAAAACACGGTGATTGGTCAGCACTAGCCAAAGACTTCTCACCTGTGAAAGCAAAATTTGATCTTGCCAACAAAAGGATCAAAAACCTGGCTCTGGCCACTCCTGCCAATAGATATGAAGATTGAGATAAGTAGTTTGAGAAACAGAGTGCTCGTAAACCAGGGTCACTGCTCTTACCTCTGTCAAGGAGATGGGAAAATGGAGGTAGTGATGGCTGCTTCAGAAAGTGTGAGGGGGTGACCCCACAGTTCTTATCCTACCTGGCTCATGGAAGCTTGTTTTCATGTAATTCTGCCAAAGGCAAGGCATAAAAGCAGGGGCACGTTCACTTTGTTACCCCTGTTGCACTAGGCAACCACGCAATCATCTCATACTTGTATCTGTGAAAGAAGCCCTTACTAATTCCTGAATGATGAAGAAAAACCAAGGCTGACTGGCTGACAGGCAGTTCACTCATGCTGTAGGCAAATTAAAAGTCTAAAAAATATAATACTAGAAATGTAGGTCTGTGGTTTGACTTAAAAGTCAGCTCAAAAAGAAGGACATCTTTTTCTATTTTTCCTTAGTCATTTAAGAAAGCACGTGAAGACAGGATTTCTGTATATAGCTTGTGACACCTGTTTTTCTTCACAATGTTTTCTCCTTGTTCCCTTCAGCGCCACCTCAAATATAGGATAATTGCTTCCTAGTTTTACCTATTTTGAGTGTTCAATTGGAAGTTGCTCTAAGTATAGGTATTTTCTGTGAAATGGAATTAAAAAATGCTGTCTGCATACAAAGAAAAAGGGGAAAGGAAAAGGAAAAATAGATGTTCCAGCAAGTGGCTGGAAAATACAATTTCTCAGACCTTAAGATTCACTTATTTAGAAGGTACACAAGGCTTTTTTCTTAAAGCAGTAAGATATCTCTGCATCTTAAATATTCATCCAGAAATTCAACTTCACAATTAAATATAAGCTGATGGTAAGTTAGAGTTACTTTCCAGTGGATACTTAATATTTCTCACTGCGTGCTTGTGATTCCCGTGTTAACCACAGCTCTTGTGTTAGCTGCGGGTTTCAACTTATTCAAAAGCCAGGCTATAATCTAGGTTTGATCTCAGTTGCTACTGACACATCTGATCTGTTACAAATACAGCAGTCGTAGCTATGATGTACTACACATTACAGAACAGTACATGCCACAAGGCACACCGATCTCATTCTTTGTGAGAAGTATTTCTCAAATAAAAGTATTTAATCAAATAGCAGGTGGAATGTAAAGCTGTCATACTCAGTCCAGATGGGTTGTGAAATCAAACGTCTGCAGGGCAGACAATAAACAGTAATGAACAACTTATTAGAGCATGCAAATGATTTACCAGGCACACCATATTCACTTTAATAATACGATTACAATACTAGAAAGATTTTGTTCATTATGCCAGTACCTTTTAACAATAATACATTATTTGATTCTTTTTCACTGTACAGAAGATGAGCAGGATATACGCAGATTATTTGCCACCAAGTATGCTGTTGATGAGAGTGAATTCAGCATCTGGAGAAACTAGTTAAAACCAATAGCCTTGATAAAACTGTATTATTAGATGAAAAATATTATGACATACAGTACAACAAACCAGTTAGATTCAGTAAAGCCAATTATTTATATCCATCACTGTGGATTTAAGAATTCTGAGGTGCTTTGTTAAAGATTTCTGAATCCTTGTCGCTGCTTATTTTTCACATTTGCGGCTTTGCAAATTCATTTACAGAGAGTGAGTACTATGCAACCTGAACAAATATTTCAGTCCCTGGGGGAAGGGAAAGTATCATTTGAATTGATCCATGTCATATATATATATCCAGCCACTTAAAAAGAAAGGCCAGGAATGAAAATTGTTGGTTTTAATAGTTCTTAACTGTTTTTATTTTTAAAGAAATCATAGGTTTTAAAGACTTGCAAAGAATTTTCTCACTGTATCTTAATGTTTCTCTTAAATATTTATTTGCCAAACAAGAGCTGATGCTGAGTTTTAACTTTCCAAAACACTTCAGTTGGCTTTCAATAGCGTTCTTATCAGGTGTGCAGATCATATGTTAACCTCTGCTGTTGTGTTAGGCATGGATTAGCTTTGCCTATTGGAGGGTGTTTTTTCAGTGTTCAGAAAAATGACCTATGTGCTTTTCCAAATCGACATAAATACTGCAGAATGATAATATGCATTTGAAAAAACAGATCAAATTATTAGGCTCTGGTCCCTACTTATAAGTGAAAACTCTTCTGAATAGGCAAAAGAAAAATGAAAAGAACTTTACAGTTATGTGTTATGTATCTCATTGACTCTGATGGTTAACACTTCTGAAGTTATACATGTAGATCTGTAGTGTTTAAACATAATAATAATAATCTCCCAACACTTCTGTGGCATAGAAAATATTATTATCTCTAATTACAAAACTGGTATGAAGGCACAATGAGACAGCAAAAATAAATGGCTGGTTTGTAGAACAAACTCCCAAATTCCTGGCTAGTGCTCTCTCCAATGGAATAGTATTCCCTTTCCAGCAGTTCAGAAATTATTAGGAAAATCATTAGTCTAGAAACATAGATGGAAAGTGGCGCGGTGGCTCTTTACAGGAACAAGTTAGCTCATATCATATCATCATAAAAACTCTTTATGTAATGAATGGAGTCCCTAGGTATGAAAGGAGAAATAATTACTAGAAGAAAAGGCTGATGAGTGGAAAAGTGCAGATTGTGTGCTAAAATGGGCCAGGAGGAACATATGAATTGTCTACAAAAGCTTCCCAAGGACCGGCTGGGTGATAAGCCATAAGACCAAAGAGCTGTTTGCTTTCATGAAGAGCCCTGACTGATCAGGTGAAGGGCTCATTATTCTGCTGGATCCATGCAATAGGATGAATAGAGAAACAGGTTCAATGCTTCAAGGATCCTGCAACTCATATTGAATTTGGGGCGTGCAGCAGGCATTGATCTGAATGTGCAAGTGATTCAGAACTACATTTATACATTTGTATTGGGTCTAGCTGGGATGGAGATAGCTTTCTTCAGAGCAGCCCGTATGGTGCTGTGTTTTAGATACGTGACCAAAACTGTGTTGATAACACACCAAGGTATCAGATATTGCTGAGCATGAAATCCTTCTGTTTCTCACTCTGCTGCCCCAGCAAATATGCTGGGGGTGGGCAAGAGGTTCAGTCCTTCTGATTCTCTGCTCCACCCGACTGGTGGGGTGTGAGTGAATGACTGGGTGGAGGCTTTGTTGCCAGACAGCATCAATACACCACAACATTATAACCCACACAAAATCAAAAGCCTGTAAGAGAAGTTTCCAAATACTTAGAAATAACTGGCATGTCGATATGTATGAAACTAAACAAGGTAATGAATATATAACACAATGAATACACAACACAAAAAATACAAAAAGTTTTGCCATTTTAGAAGTAAAATATAAATGATATCAAGAGTAGTTAAATACCTCTTTAGAAATAATTCATATTTGCCACAGAAAGAAGAACGAGTCCCTTAATGTCCTCACACTCAATAGGTAAAGTAAAAACTTGCAGTTTAGGGAAAGAAGCACTTTTTTTGGTGCTGGAAATTAAATACTTTTTAAGCCACTTACATTTAAAAAAAGCCCAAAACTATAAAAAAACAAACCAAAACAAAAACACAGAAGAAAAAGCTGTTGCATTAAGTAAAAGTCACTGCTACAAAATTCCCAAGAACAATTCAGAAACTTTTTACAGCTACTGCCTCTGGAGCATGACTTTGAACCTAGCCCCAGTTACAGATGTTACTTTATGTACAACAATGGTACTACCATCCTGGGCCACTCTCTGCAGACCATCTGTCTCATAAAGCCTGCAAGCTTTCTCTTGTGGCTACAATCTCACAACAAAAATGCATTTTAATTCAGTATTATTTCAAATTGCAGTTACCTTTTTTTTTTTCCTTTCAGTCTAATAATCTTAAATTTGCTCCATACCTTACAGTCTCCTGACTTTCCAATCTCCACATTTACTTCTATTCATATTTTTATCAAGTTTATTAGTGAGATATCTACCTCTTACTCTTTCTCAGAACTCTTTTCTGGTTCAGACTTAGGAAAAAGGTTCTCTGACCGTTGTATTTACACCCTGAACTAATAATCTTTCTAAATAACCTCTTCACAGGCCACTAACCGACTTTCAGAAAACAGTGCTTTAAATGGCAGAAAAAAGATCAAAATGTCATGTAGTTCTTCAAATGGGAACACACCCTGATGATTTTTTATGCTCTTTCACTCATTATGCACAACCACCACTTTGATCCTTCTGCTTCACCTTTGCTTTCTTTTCCCCACAGCATGCTTGGGTATTAATCACGTTCCTTATATTCATGTGAAATGTGTCATTTTCTATTCCACAACTACTACCACTAGAGGAAACATTTGAAAATTTACTGATGTTTAACTCCTTTAGTAGTACATAAGGTAGGAATTCAAATTAATACATTTGCTGATGACAAATAGCAATATGGGATTGATAAAAATTAAATTAAAATTATTTAAACCACCAATTTTAATCAGGATTTAAATCAAGAAGCAGGAATCCGATTTACATAATGAGTTTCATTCTTGCTATACGTTTTTACTTTGTAGTTATTTCCCCAAAGAAAGATGCTCTGCTTATTCTCACCTATTGATTTGCGACTAGATAATATTCCAGTTAATAAATATGTTTTCTTCTGTTCGTCATATGGAAATGCTACATGTACGCAAATATAAGCAATGGCAAAAGCAAATCAGCTTAATGTACAGTTTTGGAGATTTTCTATACCTTATACTAGTAAGCATGATATTTCTTATTGATTGATTAGTATCTAGTTGTGGTTTGTTTAAACTGTATTTTTAAAAAAATAAATTAAATTTAAAGGCACAAAGCAAGAATTTATTTATTTTTATGCTATCATGAATGTATCAATACAAAAAATAAATTCATCAAATTATATTTCCAGGATAAAAGAAACAAATTTATTAAACAATTAAATTACGGAGGGAACTCTAATGAATATTTCTGCCCTCCCTCCCCCCTGCCCTTCAAGAAAGAAGCATTCCTGTTTTTTCCAATCACAATTTAACGAATAAAGTAGATATTGAACAAATTCATTATTAGAGAGGAAGGGCGTTTTGGTGGTTTGGTTTTAGAATTTTTTTTGTGGTTTTTGTTTTCCAATACAGAAAGACAGTTACCACTAGAACAAATCTTGGTCCTGCATGACTGGCCAGCAACTTCCAAATATTCTGCATAGATTTACTTTACCTTTTGACATCAAACAAAATTTACTGCAGTACTATTCTTAATATAAATTACAGGGTTTTAATAGGTTAGAATGACTTCAGTCTGTAATGCAGCCTGCATTAGAACTGCAATTTTTTTAAAAAAAATTAGTAATTTAACCTCCCCGCAAATAAGTTCAAAACCAAGTAAATGCAAAGCCCTTTGCTTTGCGTATATGTCCTGTTTGTATTTTTAGTTTCCAAAGAATAGGACTTACTTTCAGTTAAGGCCTGAAGAGAACGCTGGGCTTCTGCCAACATCTGTGAAGACTGACGTGCTAACCTGTTTTTTTCTTTTTCTCCTTCTCTGTTTTTCTTCTTTCCAATTTCTCTCTGCTCTACTTTTTCTATTAAGTAAAATAAAGATTAAATATGTTTCTTTTTCAGATACAAACTTTCAGTCATAGAGTCTCATACTGTGTAAATGCTTTAATGACATTTTAGATAAATTAAAGAAAAAGCAACCACAAACTATTTGAAGTCAGAAGAGTTGAGATACAATAAAGAGCCAATGTCATTCAGTTTAAAGAAAAATAAAAAAGAAAAAAATAATTATTACGATATAAATGCAGATTTACTGAGAAGGGGCCAGGAAGGCTTCAGTCCCACCTTCCAGTTAATGCACAATGCTCATGTGCTACTATAATGTTTGGAATTCCTGAATGCCTGGCACTGTGTCCAATATTTTCTTCATGTCCTTGCTCATGTGCATCAGTAATTTCCAAAAAAATCTAACATAGGTGGGGCATAGGTTCCCAATGTACATGGAAGAAAAAAGTCTCACACAGTCAGAACCTTCTTTCAAGCCTTAGAACTTAGACTATACGAAAATACATTTCTAATGAAAAAAAATCCCAAACACTAATAGAGCATCTGAACAGACCTTGTAGCCTCACAGTTGGAGATTACAGAGCTGTATTGTAACATAACGCTTCCCTGATTCTTAGCTGTTTCAGTTACTAGTAGAATTTCTAACTCCGTGTCAGGGTTAAATTTACAAAGTTTTCTGGGAATAAATTACAGAACCCTGTTGGACGAATGACAGTGCTGTTCCCAGTGGCTGCGTCCCTGTACGTGTTCATTCCAAACTGAAATATCTACTACACTGCTGGGTGGGTCATAAAATGACAGCAAAAATTCCTAAGAAGAGAGAATACCCCCTGAGCCAGGCCTTTTCTAATATTTTTACAACACTTTTGACATTAGGTCTTAGTATTTTGGATTCAAAGTGGGGAAGGCAGGGATTTTTTTTTTTAAATCTAGGAAGAAATAGAAATTGTAGTATATGATTTGCACTTTCCAAAGACATTAGAAGCGTTGTGAAATTGCATTCATGCCTCCAAGTTAAAAACAGCAACTAAGAAAACTCAGTCTCAAATATAAACACTAAAGAATATATCAGAACAAATAAGTTTCTAAACCTAAGTTTTTTTCATTTAAATGTAAATAGGATTAGCAGTTGAAGAAAATTAATACCTATACCTAGTAGCATAAACAGAAAAGTTGCTATAAATAAAAATGCAGGTAGTCATTAGAATGTACTTGTCGGAACCCTCTGTAGGTAATCACGCTTTGGGGAAACTGTAACCTCTCTGATTGTTACCCCTCTGCAAGGAACCAGTCTTTAGAGAAATGGCTGTGACACAGAGCTGAACCAATCTCTGCCATAAAATGAAGCTGTTTTCATAAAACAATAGACTAGTACTGCTTCTAATGAGATCAATAGTTAAAACAAAACTTTTTAAATTTTACACCATTGCAACGTGTTCAGTGAAACAACAACAAACCCACAGACTTGCATGTGGCATAATAAAGACATACAAACTCAAACCCAGTGGTTATGTTAATTTTATTTATGCTCGGCCTACAAAGATAACATTATCTAAAATTACAGACCTTTGCCAATTTTATCTGCTTTCTCAGGTTTATCTGACTGCTTGTTCACAGATAAAATTTCATTTTTTAACTCTGAGACTTTGGTCTCTTTAGGTTTTGTATCTGACTGATGAATACCAAGTTCTGGAGTTTTCTTATTTGGCAACTTGAATTCTGGCACAATCTCCTTCAAAAAGCTCCAAACTTTGTCCAAGTATCCAGGCCTTTGAAAAAAAAACACATGTATACGTCAATGATATATAATCATATAGAAAAGAAAGGGTGATTTTCATTCAGACAACACTATACTACAACTGACAGTCCAACTTTTAGAAAAGTTACTAGGTTGTTTTAGTAAATAAAACACACTTGCCTGATTTTGTGTATCAGCCAATTTGTTAAAAAACAGAATATGGACAGACCCATAAAGAAAGAGATGGTGGTTAGAGAAGCACGTAAATGAAGCATCCTTTCTAAAGCATTTTAGGAGACAAAAGTCGCAGCAGGGAAATTTGCAGACAATTTTGCAAGTACACTGTATAATAAGTTGATTCTGGCTCTGTACATTAAAAGCCTTCTCAAAGTTACTTCCAAATTAGGTTTTCCTAACTGTTTCAGCACAGGTAGTTCCATGCCTCTTCCACCGATTCCACTAGCTGCAACAGCTTTTTGACATGACATGACAGTTGCAGTCATACTGGTTCTTCACAGAAACTCAGTGATTCCAGAAATAATCTGAAATAGCTTATCTTATACTACTATTGCAAGGACTCTGTGGTATTCACATTTTCTTATTCCAGAATATAACCTATTTGCAGTAAGTGCCATAGTCGTAAATACTGGTTTTTGCTGTTGCAATCATAAAACTAATTACAAAAAGAAACAAAATTTAGGTTACTAAGTCCGTGGGCTAGACACACACTACTGCAAGCCACAAATATATCAAAAACCTAAATTGCAAGCATAGCTTGGGATACAAAAATTGCTGAAATAAGGGCTAAAATAGCCTTTGACTGAACTTAATTACTACTGAAATACTGTTATAAATAAACAACTACATCTGAATAATTTATATATAAACCAAAACTATTTGTTTTATGTGTATTCATTAAAATGTATACATCAAAAGGCAAAAAAGTGTCATTAAAAAAAATTAAATATTTAGTACCTGCATCCTGGCCATTCTTTCAGTAAAAAGATTGTCAACCTGGAAAGTTAGAATGCCTGTTCTCTAAAACCACAAAACGGACTTAAAACACACAGGAAACAAGAAAAAAAAAGGTTGGAAATAAAGGCATATCTACTGTTCCAATTTAAAAGGTGAAAACACCATATTTGATTACTTCCAAATTGATGATGTATACTTTCTATAGTACATTCAGATATAAAGTTACTATTATTATTGGCAGACATTTTGTAACCGTATAATACATGAAGCATAGATATCTCTAACCCTGTTTTCACCAGTGTTTAATATTGGTTAAAAATAAATTAATTTTATAAAGAACAGGCATCAGCTTAACATGATAAATGGCTTTACAAGCAACTGTATGACCTAAAAGAAAAACACAATAAAACTGCATTCCTTGAAGGCACATTTCTCAAGGCTGAAAGACTTCTAGGGATCAGCTGTATTTTTCATAATGCCAGTAGATTTAAATATTAAATTACTAATATGTAAACTATTTAATAGAAGAACTTACTGAAGAGGAATAACTTCTGGTATCCATCCGGTCAGTGTATGTAGAACTGTAAATTCCTCCAACTCTCTTTTTCCAGTTTCCCGTATACTGTAAGACAAAAACATACATTATACAGAATTACAATATATTAAATTCACAGTAAACTCTGTAGCCTACATTGCTTTCTGTAGGAACAAGACCATACATAAACAGAATGGCTTGCTGAAAAACAAGTTGTGATTTGCAATTTTAGGAGTTTTCGAACCCACTGCTGACTACTAGTATACAAAGTCAAATTTGTTTTTATGCCTTTGCATCGGGCCTGTTATTTTAGTGTTCCCTCCAGTACAACAGCATGGTTTCAACACTGTCAGCAAGCATACTATGTATACTCGCATACAGTAAAGCCCCTTATTGCAGGGTTGGAAATGTGTGTTTGAAATCCCTCATGCTAGCAGGCGGATATGAATCTAGAACTTACATTTCCTGAGCAGCTGCTCTAACTCCCAGGTTATTATGCAAAAGTTGGCTGTATTTCCAGAGTACCACCCTCCACTCTTTCAAATCGATAAAGTCTCCTACTTTCTGGAGAGATTTCTGTCTGTAGATCCTGAGAAGACCAAGGCTAAAGATGCCAGCGCTGGGCCATGACTAAGCCTTGTGCTCTGGAGAAACACAGTATTTCAAACACTTTCCTGCAAAAAGAGTTTCCTAACGGGCAGCTCTAGGCAAGGCCCTGGCCTGTGTGGAAGTACTTTAGATCACTCTTCCAACAAATATAACCTGATATGACCAGAACAGGGAAGCCTGACTACCCATATCAGTGTTTTAAATTATTTTCTGAAGCTCAGTCATTCAAACACTTGGCGTTCATTGCTCATCTCATAGGAATCTATGGCCATAATTGTCAATTATTTGCACCTTCGACTTTCCAGGTCAGTTTTAGGGAAGTGGATCAACATACAGCCCATGACAGCAAAACTGTAGCAAAAGCATCAAAAGCAGCTTACAATACTCCATTTTCAATACTGGTTAAGTCAATACTAGTTAAGGCTGACAAAACTTCAGTAAATCTTCTCGGACATTTCCATTTGGCAGAAAACTGCATGTGAAGCTTTTTAGGAATAACAGCAAACAGATTAAGCAAACAGGGAGAGCACTCCAGTTTCTTTGCTAAGTTTTTTGTGCATAAATGTACAGACGCACATGTAAAAAGGAAACACTGCACCCTCTGGAGCTCCAGGGGACCTTGCTTTACTGATTTGCTGGGTCACCTTTCAGAAAAGTGTATATTTGTCATTACAAACTTTTTAGCAAAATATATTTCCCAGGTATACCAAAACAACTTTTTGCAAATTCCATGTGACTTCACAAAACAAACTGAAAGTGAGCTGACCAAACATACCTAGTATTTGCCAGCTTAATAATAGCTTTGGACAGCAACATCGGCCAAAGTTCAATTTCACAGGTTGTAGCTGGTAGTAACAAATTATCCTCTTCATTGAAAGGCATAGTGTCATCCACAGTGATCTTTCTCCAACATCCCTGTGATAGGGGAGTTTGGGGAGAAAGAAAGAAAACACGGAGTTTGTGGGCTGGAAACAGAACACGTATATAAGAGAACTTTTAATGCTCTCCCAAGAACCCAGTTCTAAGGTAATTTGATTTACATTACAGATGGCTTTAAAGGAAGTTCTCATTTAATATCTGAGAAGCATGGAAACAGTCTTCATTGCATTTTATTACTGCTCTGACTTATTTATTTCAGAGATTAATCTAATTGCAGCTATTTCCAGATATATTTCCTCTCGTATATGTAGTCCAAATGCATGCATTTGTTGCTGTTTCTTCAGCTGCCATGACAGATGTCTGAGAAACAGTAATAAATAAAAAAAAGGTTTAACTAAGACACAGGTTTTGCAAATGCCTCTTTTAAGGTCTTAGTCCGGAAAGTACTTGTGATAGAAGTAATCCCCCTTGCTTCCCAAGAACTACCTCGGGATGATGGTTGCAGTGGTTAGTTTGCTGGAAAGCATTAAGATTTTACCTTATAAAACACTACAGGAAACAACACAAAATTACCAAATGTAACAAATATCGATATTTAATGGATAAGAAACAAATAATAAAAGACACTGATGTCTCCAATACCAGATATTTCATTACTAAATTGAGCTAGTATCCCACAAAATAATCTTCCCTACCGTTCTCCAAAAAAGTTTCTATCCTAGTGATTGAGACATAATGAGAGGCAAAGGAATTAGTGGGGCAATAGCAAGTACTTTGAATGACCAAATCACTTAAATGTTCACCACACATTATCAGAGAGGACAAAATTACTGCTCTATTCTTGTAATTAAACTGTGGCTTCAATCTGAAAGGCCCATCAATTAACTCTACGTGAGATCTATAGATCTCAGAAGAAAACAAATTTAGGCCATATGGCAAAGAAACTCAAAAAGCATAAAATAGGTGAATAGTGTTTTAGATAAAAAATATGATACTCAAAAAAACATAAAATATGTGAATAGTTTTCTTGGATAAAAACTGTTTGCTGACAGCCAAAACTAACTTTTTAAGATTTCCCGAGTTTGAAAAGGACCTAGTAAGGGAAATGATCTCCTCTTTCAGTAACAGCTGAAGTTTAATAGATTGAGCAGTAAAAATTGAAAAGTAAAGGAAAACATGGAGGACATACTTGGTTTTCTATGGCTCAGGACATTTTTTAATTCAGAATATTCTGTCCATGCAATTCTTAAAAGACAATAGTATTTCTTGCAAATGTAGCACCATTAAAAAAAAATTTCTCCTCCTTACCAACAGCTTGCCTTTTATACTTAATAAACAATAGAATCCATATTGCAATTATTTTGCATCAGTGATAACCTTTTCATAGCATTTCACTATTAACTCTAAAACCAATTATTCTGGTTTAAGGAGATAAAAGACCAAGAGAAAGAAAAGAAAATATGTGGGGCAGAAGGTTTATGGATACAAAAAGAAATGTATAGATGAGAAAAAGTGGAAATAAAGAAACTAATTCAATAAACCTCAAGAATGCAAAGTGAAAGCAGGATGTGGGGTAGAACTGAAAGAATATTGTGCCAATTATGTGAAAAATTACTATCCACAGGTTTGATCTGGTGGACAACAATCCCATCAGGACTCAGTACAGAATTTTACTGAAACCAGTTCATTATTCTTCCATTGTGCTTTCTTTTCCTTTTCATTTAATTTTCCACTTTCTCCTGTGAAATCCGTTTCTCCTCTATCTCTATTGATATTTGTCTTTTCTCATTTGCACATTTTCTTTCATTTTCCACCATTTGACCCTCTTTTTTCCTCCCTATTTTTCTTTCTGTGAAATACAGCTGTACAACCAGAGGAAAAGAAATGAAATAAACCCAAAGGCCCAAAACACAACAAAACCAAAACAAAAGTGACAAAGAAACTAAACCACCCTTATAACTCTTTTAACTGCTTTAAAATGCAGTCTTTTATCACATGCATACACAACCTCTGCAGCAGTAAATTCACACACAGAGTAATGTCCTCTGCTGAGGAACCTGGGCAACATCATTTCTGCCTTCTCAAACTCATACAACTCGTATTCCCTGTATGAATATAAGTTATTCCATATGTGGAGGCAGTAGTAAGGGATGAGGAAAGCACAGGCATGTAAATCAGCTAAGTACTCCTCCTTACAGGAAATTTAAGAGATTCTTTTGGCTTTAACTGCTTTCCCATTTCTTTATCAGCGCTGGGTAGCTAACGTGTATCAATAGCAAGCTGCATGAAACTTCCTTTTAAGATACCAGAGTTGATCTATATTGTATTAGAACTGTAAGCTTTTTCTTAATACAAATACATGGTGTAGGATTATTTTAAAGTAAAATTAATATGCTCAGCATCATATTCCCTCTCAAGAGACACGCATCAAACTGCAATGTGCATAAGTGCAGCCATTCGAAAGCTCTCCCCAGCTTTGTTTGCATTTATTTTCATTCCAAAAGACGGACAGATTTATAAACAATTTAACACGGTGATGGAGAAGCAAAATAAATCCCTCCTTACTTTTATTCACAGGAACTTTTTATACTATAACCACTAAAGAAATGGTTTCTGGCATAGAAATATAATATGAGCAATTTTCCAAGGGTCATGAAAGTGTTTGCGTAATTATTTTGTATTTGTAACTGTAGAGACTTCTGAAAGAACTCAGCGCTGAGGTGTTTCTAAGTGACATGCTGCATGCAACTGCGAGGCTCTCTCCACACCTCCAACAGGAAGCTTGGCTACCTTCCCCATCTGAGGCACTGACCTGCTGCTCTCCCTCTCCAGGAGCATCACCTGCTGCACATGTGATGCAAGTTCCTTCAGTCTGAGGTTTTAAAAACATTGTGAGATGGGAAGTTTGTGACCTCTCCTTTTGTAGAGCAACACTAATTATCTCAAATAAGGGTAAACTGGAGACTTGCCATAAGGACCATTAGGAAAACAAAATCTCTTCACTATTCACCAAATTATATATATATATATATACTTTTCCTCTCCTTTGGTATATTTTTTGGTCTCATTTTGTTATGCATTTAAAAGTGTTGTCCTTGAGTATTCTGACCTGGACTATTACAGTCCATCTTCCAAACCCTTCTATTAACCACCACATCAGCGCTTTTCACAAACACAGTCCTCACAAAACCTCTTTCTCCCCAAATTTAAGAGTTTCGTTCTTACACTTTTTGTTGCTCTGTCTTTTGACTGCCTCCTATTGGCTGAGAACATCTTCCCCAGAGACCCCTATTTTATATTATAGCTTTTCACAATGGGTCAAAAACAAAAAAACCCTCCAGGTTGTTCTTTCCTGATTCTCGTCTTGTCCTCTTGCATTTCATTCAGCCTTTGGTTGTTCCATTTTACTGTATGAGGTTTTTTTCCATGCATACATATTAATAACACATTCTCCCAGAAAGCAAAATGAGCAAATTTTTTTTTTCAATTACTTCATCGCATTTTAAGGACATGAAGTAATGTTGAACATACCATTTCCCTCAAACATTTTTTTTAATATTTAATTGCCTTTTCTTCTAATTAATTATACCATATTTTGGATTGAATTTATCTAAAGTCAAATTCTAGCTTTTCGTATTTCACTACAAAGTTCCACACCAGGATTATCTTCTTTTCCATTTGTAACTAAATTATATGCAGTGCCTTGGCAACCTCTATTAAACTGGGAGATACAAGTTAAACACGTGACAGTGTAAAGTCTAAATGATGCTGAAACTTTGGAAAAGAATCCAGGTGTCACCCTTTGGTGTTTGGTCCCATGACATAGGTTTTTTCAGAGCAGTCAAAGCTGTTGTCATGGAACCTGCCTTGCAGAAACTGGGAGTTTTAGTCCTTAACAGCTGAGAAAAAAAGAACATACAGTTCTTTCACTTCTTGATAAGTGCTCTAACCATCACGTTTTATGCAAAAGGAGAGGTGGCAGCCATCTGATAAAAGATACGAGCTCTCTTTATCTTTTCATGCACTCCCACAGAATAATCTAGTGCTTGGTATCTGCACAGACAGATGTACCTAACACAAAGCCCTAAGTCAGCGGCTTAACCTCCAGGAATACTCTCGGAAACCCTGGATATTTGTTTGACTAATTCTGATAGCTCTTGGCTTATCATGTGAGGCAACTTAATCACCCTTGGAAAAAAAACACATCTATCCCCATTGACAAATAACAGACCAGTTCATCACCTAAATTAATCTAAATTCTGCTGCTGTAGACAGTTGGTATGGTGATGCCTAAAGCAGGTACATCAAGCAGGCACTCTGAATATGTCCAAAGCTTACCTGGATCTAGTGATATGAAAATATTTAATTTGAGCATCTGAAGCCTCTAAATCTGTTTTGTTAGAGATAGTTATGTTTGTTCAATTTACAATGTGCCAAGGAACAGATATATCTCTGTCAGCCTTCCAATGCATAGAATAAATAAACATTGAATAACTGCTTGTAGGTGGTTTTTTTTTTTCCTTAACATTGCTGTTTGTTTTTATTATCATTTGTGATAGCTTGTTTTAAAATATCCGATATCAATATTATTAATAACATAAATTTCTTTAGTACCTTTGGTCTGCTTAATGAGCTGTCTGCATTGTCTTAGCTGTTCACTTGTATTCATAAGCATTGTTTTTTGCTTTTTTTTTTTTTTTAAAAAGCTTTTACACATTCTTTAGTTTTGTTTCCTTTTTTAAGTATAACTGTTTCAGATTCCATGAATTCTATCTTTTCAGAAGTCCAATGGGATGCCTTTGAGTTTTCATTAAGACTTCTGACTTTATGTTTCTAACTGACTGTGTCAAAAATATTTTCAGTTTTCGGCAACTGGAAGTTTAATAGGGTCAATTATGTGTCTTAGTGTTTTGTGGTATGTTTTGTTTGCAAAAGACAAAAGTAACCAGAACAAGCCCAACAAGACAGACAACTTCTAACTTTTAGGTCAGTGATTATTTCTTTGTCTATTCATATGAGGTTCAATATTAAATTAAGTGTTCCCTGTTGACAGTAAAATGCATTAAGAAGTTACTGTCTGTTATCTTTAGGAGCTCCACAGGATGTTTCATTTTACAAGTACATCTTCAGTAACTGGTCCCCACACTGGAAGTCTTTAATCACGTTTAAATACAATTGGATACAAATAGCTCAGTAAAGTCAACTGAGTTACTTAAACAATAAAAATCATTCTTAATCCTAATGAACCAGAGTTGCGGGCCACTTGTCTGACTCTACTAAATACTTTCACCAAACCTCCATATTCTATCATTCACTACACAGGTCAGAAATATTTTGCCTATTATCTCAAAACAATTAATGCACACACACAAAAAATCAGCTGATGAAATTAAGACTGAAACAAAAATGGGATATAAGTTACTGAGTGAGAATTTAAATCATACATAAAGTCCATAAAAGGATATGTGATTTAGAAATCAAACCCTGTAAAAATAGGATGTCAAGTATCATATGCAGCTTACAGAAACTACAAATGGTGAAAATTAATTATTTCTTAAAATCACATTATTTTAACCACACACAAATGATACAGAATGAACCTCTGTCAAATGTATTGAAATTGTGCTTTGGCCTAAGGGATCATAGAATCATAGAATCACAGAATGGTTTAGGTTGGAAAGGACCTTAAAGATCATCAAGTTCCACCCCCCCTGCCATGGGCAGGGACACCTCCCACTAGACCAGGTTGCCCAAGGCCACGTCCAGCCTGGCCTTGAACACCTCCAGGGATGGGGCCTCAACAACCTCTCTGGGCAACCTGTTCCAGTGCCTTACAACCCTCAAAGTGAAAAACTTCTTCCTAATGTTTAATCTAAACCTGCCTTCTTTCAGTTTATATCCATTCCCCCTCGTCCTGTCATTACATGCTCTAGTAAAAAGTCCTTCCCCAACTCTCCTGTAGGCCCCTTTAGGTACTGGAAGGCCGCAATAGATCTCCCCGGAGCCTTCTCTTGACATTGAAAACTGCTGTCTGACACAAAAAGAAGTCACAAGTATCAGAAAAGGAAAATTATTTCAATAGATAGCTTGAACATAAGCAACATTAGCAACTACCATGACTGGATCCTCTTTCTAAAAATGTAATAAACAAATGAACTCAAATGTAGTACCTTGTTGCAATTGCCAGAGAAAAAAAATCTCCTAAAAATCAGCAAAATTCTATATGATCTACAAAAAAATAATATTGCCTTTTCAAGTAATAGCTCTGTTTTATCAAGTTCTAAGTTGTACAAAAATTACATGAAGTGTAAAAGGCATTTTTACTAACATGCATCAACAGTTTGTCAACATTTCTACTCCTACAAACACATATATTTTCAATAATAATAAATACTTACCCTAACCATTAAAATTTGCCATGCTAGATGCATAGATTTATATATTGTTGGAAGGAATTACTCACCATCCAATAAAGTTTCACTACATATTTTCCATAGCTATTGTACAGTGGCATGTGTCCCCTAGTAGCTTTACATAAGGCATAAATGTGTTCCCATGGTTTCCAAAAAAGTGTGGATGTTCCATTACTTAAGGCCTTTTCATTATATACCCTCCAGACTGCATAAATTTCACTTATAATCCATCTCATCAGCTGAAAACAGAGAAAAATAGAAAAAAAAATTCGACTTACATCTTTTAGAAAAATGAAATCAAGTTATATCAAAGAATACATATCAAGATATGATTAAAGAATAGCAAAGTTCCTGTATTATATGGAGAAGCAACATAAAGTATAGCTATGGTTTCATGCAAAAATTAATTTCAGTGGTACAACTTTTCTCAAAATCATCATAATATCTATTTACAAGAACACAAAACTTCATGAAACTAAATAAAGGCACAATATAAAATATGCGGTTCATTATTTACCAAAGAAAAATGAGGACTTATGATTTCAAAATAAACTATGTTACAGGACTTGTGAACTGTCACTTGTTTAATGGCTATTACTAGATATAAATGCTAAAAATTGGTATTGGCTTTAAGACTTGTTATTTGTACCCAGTAAAAAACTATCCTAAATCATTAAAATTATTTAATAATGATTAAAATTTAAAATAGAAGCTTTAACTAATCATGCTTCAGTGCATATGTTTTTCTAACATGCAGATTTCTGATGTATGCTATAGTTTCACAAGTATTACCAGACTGCTACAGTGATTTATATAAACAAGAACGAGAATAAGCTTTTACTACAGGAAACTTGCCCTAAAATTAATTAGTGGTTCTGTGGACAGCAAAATTTACAGCATCTGTTTCCTGGTGGCTTCTTCCTATGCAGTTTCTCTGGTGCTGAATTTCAATTTTGCGTTGAAGCATTGAATGAAATAGAAATTATGAAAAATATTACATACAGTAAGGCACGCAGATTCCTTGGTTCTACCTGCTTTATATTTTCCCCTGATCTTTAGTAATTCAGTAAACATTTATTCAACTCTGGAGAGAAGGAAAAGACTGGCTGGGTAACAGAGATTTGCACATACATGCACGCACAGTAAGAACATGACTTCAGGAAAGCTTGAACGAAAAATAGAAATCTTTTTTAATGTAGCTTTTATTTGCTCTTATCTTTAGACAATATTATCCAGTAATAATTTTTGTAGTTCATACACAGTATATTTTTTCTTTAAAAAAAATCACGTTTGGAAAAATCTCTTACCATCATAGATACAATTTTTCAAGTTCTAAAACAGGTAAACTCTAATTACACAAATCTAGATGATTTCTTGCCATTTTATTCCCACCATTCTTTGTTCATGTAAAAAAAAACTTTATAAAGGGACATTAATGTATTTCTACCTACCTCACTACAAAATATATGCTCATTCGCTGAAAAAAGGTCAAATGAAGTTTCATTTTTGACAACGACAGGAATCTAGAAGAAAGTAAATTAGTTAAGTCCATAGCTAAATTAGCTGGAAAAATTTAAATGAACACTAATGTTTAATAGTAGTGACATACAAATGTTAGAGATTTTGCAAACATTCGTTAGGCATTTGTAAACTAAAGGTTGCCAGTTTGGAAATCTTGTAGCTGATTTGGTATTTCTTAATAAAAGTGTCTTAAAACGTAGATATTCAGAATCTTTAAAAAATCTTTGTTTTTACAAGGAGATTTAAAGAGCACCAAATGAAATAATTACATAAGTAAATTGAGATTCCCTCACTTTATTCATAATATTTGCAGTTCTGCATTTAAATCATGACCATAACACTGTCTCATACTTTGAGATTTCCTTGCCCTGCCCCCCAAGATTCAAAGGGATTTGTTTTCTCATGGTCAGTTAGATAGTGGTATTGTCAGTATGAACACTGACTTTATCAAATCTTTGACTATAACGTAGTTTTAATGGCTATTGTTTATATAGTCCTTTTTCTTTTTGTAAGCAGTTTAGAAATAACATACTGGGATTGTAGTTTATTGAACTAAATATATCTGTGCCTCTCCTCATTTATTGGTGATCATTATTTGATTCTTTGCTTACCACACTAAATAGGCTTGTTTACACTTTAAATTAGATTGTGGTCTAGATTAGGTAGCAACATATATCTTCTTAATAGCCTTTCATCACTTGACATTTACATAAATTTTTAACAACTTATAACAATTCTAGTAATTATAGCTTCTTGATTCAAAATACACTGGACCAAAACAAGCATCAAAGTTTTACACAGGTCTTAAAGGAAACAAACGCTTTCTTCATAGTGTTCTAGAGATAGATCTTAAAAGCTATTTTAATACAGATACATGTTTCCATGGCTTTCTGGGCTGCCAGCTCTCTTGCCCTCATCTTTCAGATACTTCTACTTGGTTTATGCATTTTGGCAGTGTTTCTCATTCAATCTTTTGGTCTTGTCAATTCCTCCCCTGCCCTCCCGCTCTCCTTCCTCCATTAAAAATTAAACTTGGACCTGTTTAGTGTCTAGTTAATAAAAAATAGAACTGACAAGCTGACAAAAGGAAAACTGACAAGCCTGAAAAAGTTGGAAGGGTGGTCAAAGTGTTTTAAAACTTCAGCATTTCATCTGAAGCAAAAATGCTTTAAAGCTTTGATTAGCAACAGCACTGGAGAACGCTAACCTTTGAAATGGTAGACTGCTTATTTTCTTTGCAATTATTTTAAAAAATAAACTAAATAAGAGCTTTGCATAGTTTTAAAATGTTATGGTTACCTTCCTGACAAGTACTGTCAAAGATGTGGGTACATTCTGTACGCAGACTGGAGAAATACAATAGTTGAAGTGAGAAAAAGTACTACATTTCTGGTAAAGCTAACTCATGGTTTCAAGACATTTACTTCAGGTACCAGCTCAAGGGAAGCCTTAGTTGGAACAAAAAGAACTTGCTTTGCCATGACACTAATTTTAAAGTAAGAAAACAAGAACACAAAGTAAAACAGGAAGGCATCTCTCCGTCAAGGTATCTTCCAAATGAATGTGGAGTCAAAAAACAGAGCAGATATGGGAGGATATGCTACCATGTTTTGCACCAGGAGGTGCTGATCCATGGTGATCCCGGCAAGAAAGGCACTCAAACTCTTAAAGTGCTATTATTAGAACTAACTAAAAAGAAAGGGATTAGTATAGATAACCTTACATCCTTTTAGACACTGGAAACCCCAAGTTGTGCAGCATCAAACAGGCTTCTGATCCACGCACAGCATTCTGTGCAGAACCCACCCGTAGAAAGGGTTACCCCATTTTGCTATTATTGAGCTCTGATAGGACTTGAGCTATTACAGGATTTTCTTACAACAACTCTTTTCATCACTTCTGACGTAAAAGAGAATGGATGCTCACATATGAAATTCCTGCCACACTGGGACAAAGGCAAGAAGATGCAGGTGATGTAACCACTGGTAACAAGCGGGCGCTGCCTTACAACGCACTGGCTGAGTTTATCCTGGAGCCAGGGATCACACCCCGCACCACACAGGCTTGGAGGACGAGCTGTGTGTGCAGCACAGGTTAGCTGCTGTTTGCATCACCGACTCCTCGGTGCACAACAGTCTCCCGGCCAGGATAACTATGCATGGTCAAGTGGGTTTTATCTGTTGAACCAATCTCCTCTACTAATTTTCCTCTACTTGTTTGATAGCTAGGCAAGTAGCAATTTTTTCATCATGACCTTGCTTGTTTCTTACCTTACTTGTTAAAAACTCATGTGGACGTTTCCATGAATGTACTTTTAAGGACGGTGGCAATTCTATTTTCCCTTCAGGATCCTCAAAGACATGCTACATAAAATATGCATGAACAAAAATGGAACATTTTTTATTAATTACAGTATTGTATCTTCCACAAGTTTTAAAATAATTTATTGTTCACATGATAATTCATTTAAAGGGAAAAAGAGCATAAAAAAGAACCAATAGTATCTATAACTCTGAACTAAAAGAGTGCAAAGCCCAAACCGAAGATTCAGCACAAAAGCCACTTAAACTGTTCAGAGAAGGTTATGTGTCCTGCACTGTCTAAATAGGTCTACGTGAAATGTTTCCTTCCTTTTCCACCATTCAGAAAAGCCTCCCAAAAAACTGTTTAAGCTTTTAATTTAGGCACTCTTATATCAAGTTGTTTTTAAGTACTTTTTCTAATTCACTTACTGCTAAAGCTTTTTAAATTGAAGAGTGAAAGTAAATATCTAAAGCAATATTTAGACACAAACAAAGCAGGTTCCATGCACTTAAAACTGCTATAGAAACCAAAGAGAGGTATAATCATAAGGCATCTTGAATTAGAGATTCTCAGAGTCTCATATAATTTTGAAACTTCCATTTCCAAAGTGATACTTACTCTCCACATGCACAGAAGGTGTCAGGATATATATCTGCTTACTTAACAGCAATGTAGGATGAGGAGATACCTCTGATACTGCTCATGCTGACTGAGAAACTAATTGGTTACATGGTAACCAATTTCTTCTATTTGTGCCTGGAATTTTAAGTAGCTTTTAGGCATATTATACATTTCTGTGTGTTTCACAGGCTACGATGTACATTTATCTTCTACAGGCTAACCAAGAGAGTTTCTGTGAAGGAAAAACTACAATGCTTTGGATACTTACTGATTAAAAGAAGGCTAAAGAAAATACATTACAAAAGCATAAAAAACAAACCCAAACCCAAACCAACAACTCCAAAATAGTATTGTTGTATAGTTGTTTCATTGTGTAAGCTCTTTCAACATACCAATCTGCAACAAACTATTTAAAGTACCTGAAGCAAGCACAGTAAGGTGGGGGGAGGGTGGGGGGTGGGGTGGTGTCGAACCTTTTAGGAAAACTTATTCTTCTGAAAGCTTGAAGGAAGTGTTGCAGGCTGGACCATACAGAACTGTATTAACAGAGCGTATATTCTGCTTTCAGAGACATCCAACCCTGACAACATGGTGTGACAGGAAGTTTAGCACTTAAGCACTTGATAAAGGTGAGAATGACATACGCTATGCAAAGTAGCACTAAAAAAAATGGAGAGATACACCTTTCTTTAGCTTATAAGTGCTGTTGTGGTTCCCACACCCCCAGTTTTAATTATGTTATGAAACCAATTTTGGGGGTGCATTTTTTTTTAACCATTAACATGCACAAATTAATGCACACACATATGTTAAAAGTTTGTTTAAGAAGCACGAAATAAACAATACACAATACTTTTAGTTTATTATTTTAGTTAAGTAGGGAACTATTTCAACTTCTTGAAAAGAAATTATTGAAATTAGCATACTTATCAGTAACAAATTATTTTGAAGTTGTGACAAATGCTCTACTTAACACAACTTACTGAAATAGGACTTTTTCCAGTTTTTTCTTTCTCTTTTCCAGCTTTTCCAGCCTCCCATTTTTCTGCATTGATATCTGCTTCATTCCATTCTGGCCAAATAGGAAATCTCCACTTCTCATTGGAAGCACCTATGTGGGAAGACACAGTTGCCCTGGGAAACAGAGGCAGGAATAAAAATGAACAGAATATTAGGCAAGGGTAGTAAGAAGATTTTTATCTTGTAAAATACTCTTTTTAATGTACTGTAATAAAAATTTTAATGTTAGTAACTACAATAACTTTTTGTCACTAAGATAAGCAAGCCTATAGAAGTGCTAGGTGGCATTACTAGGTGTAAACCAACAAAATATTTAAATGCATTTATATGAGGAATCATTCTGAAGTAAATGGGACAGCTGAAGCACAAAAGCAGAATCTGAGGGCACAGTTTCCTGCCTCTTCCTATTCCCCTGTGTCAAGCCACATGGTTCCCCTTCCTCTTCTGTGCCAGTCCTAGCATTCCCGACCCAATTCAACTCACTCACAAAGACATGGGTAAAAACGAAGATTTCTCACTGTCTAGACAATAACTACATTCATCCACACTCCCAGTAACTCTTATTGCAAAACAGCTGTGAAAATTCAATACCATCTGTGCCTTCTGCTGTGCAAATAAAAAAATACAGCTTCTACCACTCTTAACTGGAAGAAAGATATATTCTCTGGAGTGAAACCTTGCTTTGTCATTTGCCTACATCTTTGTCATCTCAGTCATCTCTAAATGGCCTCCAGCCTCTCTCTACTATGTTTGATCTTTCATTAATGGTATCATTTTTTTCTCCAGCATTTTCTTGAAGACTCAAATGATGCTTCGTTCTATATTCAATAATACTTAACACGCAATTGAAAACCCTGAAGTGTTTATCAGTTTCTTTGGATTACTAGGAATGCCTATATCAGTTCCAGTTGCTTCAAAGAATCTGCTGTATCTGCACTAACTGCATGCATGAAGAACAACGAAAAACAGAATGCCAGCTGTACCAACAGCTTCAACATTTGTGATATTTTGAAACTTTGCCCCTGTCAACGTTGATTTAAATCCAAATCCTGGCAGCTTCTTACATATACTTATAAGCAAAAAATGACAAGTTAAAATTCTTACTTTTTCTACTTTTTTCTTATTTCAGATGAAATACAAATGATGTATGTAGCAATTTTAAATATTCAAGGACTACTTCTTTTTATATCTTTTTTTCTCCACCTCTAAGTCTGCATTTGCTCTTTTAAATATTTATAAAGAAGCATGGAAGTTTTACTCAATAATAATGACAATAATGATGATAATAATAATAATTATACAGATCTTCTGAAGCCATTCCCAAAGATAATGAAATAAGAACTGCAATAATTGCTATAAGATTTCTGACTGCTTTGGGACAATAATGGAATAATAAAAAAGCATATTTTTAAAAAACAGCAATGAGATGGAAAGACTTGCCTAGCTTACTACCAGACTAAGACAGAAAATTACTTTCCAATACGCTTTGACATGATAGAATAAACTCAACACTAACAACGTGGAAGTCATTGAAACAGTGCTATCTATGACTGAGATGTCCTAAACTAAGTTGGGGAAGCCCAATGTGCCTGTTTCTTAAAAGGATGACTCAGTAAGATTTTTGAAAAATCATAAAGAACTGCAGTTTAATTGGAATCCAAATATAAATGAAGTGAAAAAAAGACAGCTGAATTTATTAAAATACTCTATTTGAGTAAGGCTATTAAGAAATTCCTTTATTACAAGAATTAAATAATATAATTAATTGATAATTTTTGAAACAAACTAACAGACACGAGGACAACATAAAGCATTACTAGTATTTTATGTTCAAGCTGGATAGCTTCAGTGTGCAACAGTACTTTAAACACCAACTTATGGGCAGACTTTTTTAATCCTATGCTAACCCCTAAAGGAGAAAATGGAAGAATAAATTGCCAAATGAGGGAAAAACTATGAAGTTGGCACTAATTCACCTCTGACCCTCTATGCAGCTTCTCCAAGACTACTGGTGTAATTGATATAGTGCCAACAGGGAAAATGGGGAACTGCAGATTAGACAAACAGAACAGGGGGAAAAAAAAGCAGACAAATTGCAACCTAAGTTTTTCAGAGACTTCAGAACTAGTAGAGAGACAGGAGGCAAGCCTACAAGGTACTGGAAGTGCTCTCTCTCAAGTTAAACATAGTCATTTAGTCTGTAGACATATAGACTTTAGCTGCTCACCCACTATGTAAGCAAGATCTTGTCAACATGGTCAATGGAGTCTAGGGAGCAAATATTTTCTTCTTAAAGTAGATAAATCTACCTGTAAACTACCTATGACCATTCCTCACAGAGGAAACCCAGCAACATTGAAGGGAGACTTCTCAAGAGAATTACAGAAGAATTGGTATTTAGTTTCAGAACAGCATGGCTACTCCACCTTCCTTTCCCAGTACTTATTTCACTCTGGATCACCAGACAATAATAATTTTGTGACGCGTGAAAATAACTGATGCACTATACAGGTTTTTTAGAATTCAAACACCATTCTTTCTATTTCATTCTTTCCTCCAGATAAAGATTAAATACTCTCTTTCCTAACCCTCCCTTGCAAAAGTTAGATGCACCTTTAATCTTGCTTAGCATTTTGATGCTGTCACTTTCCTTAACAATAAAACAAAACAACCCCCCCCAAAAAGGAAGGAAAATTAATTAGTTTTTCACTTTTGCTTAGATGAGCAGCTCTGAGGATGGAAATGAGACATCTTCTCACAGAAATTTTGATTGGGAGTATTTGAAACAGATAAAATTGTTTAATAGTTCAATAACAATGCCAGCACTGTTTCCACAATGACTTTGGGGCTTTATGTAGAAATCTGGTTGGAGTCTTGACAGATAAAAGTGCTTCAGCTTTTTCTGTCTCCATGTCTGTACTTTGGAAGCTTGGAAAAAAAATCCCCAGGGATTTCACCATGTCGATGACTTCTTCAAGGATTCTGGTTGGTTATTTGCATAAGGATATACACAATCTTTCTTACTCTTTCTGTGTTCCTTATGACACAGGATGCAAAGATGATATTTTTTGCAGCTAAATCCTTTTTCTGTTTTCATTAAGGTTTCATTTGTTTATTTCTGTTAAACCTACTTACGTTTCAAAGCTTAAGATCTGCTTTATATTATCATCCTAAGAAATCAATACGGAGTTTTTCAGGGACTTAGGACACAGTATTGGGATCTCTGCCTGAGGACTGAGATGCAAAACTGAAAGCTAAGTTCTGATTGATTTAACGAATTGCTACTCAGCAGCTCAGCTACAGTAACTGTCTATGCAACTGTTCTAACTTCAACTGCGGAGTAAAATATGTGCTTGCTTAAAGCACATTTTGGAGTATCGAAAGACTGAGCATTGGTATCTGTAACAGCAACTGTTTAAACAAACCAGCCATTTTATTTGCAGTATGATACGTTTAGGTGGTGCAGTACAATTAGGTACTTATATGCTATCCCTTCTGTAGACACAATGATTGTGAGTTTGGTCTTCATTTGATTCACTCTATTAAGAATTTGTTTATCTCCACAGCAGTGTATTTGTTGCTAAGTAACTGCCAACCAGCCATCAGTTCATCCCATCTTAGCACTCCCTCTAGGTGTTTTAAATGGTCACCAACATCACCCATAGCGCGTTTTAAAGATTAAAAAAGAAACTGTCAATTTGATCATAACAATACCCCACCAGAAGACAAAATCTATTTGATGCTTATAATTTTCACCTTGTTCCCTGGAGAGTGTGGTCCATCTTTTATTTTTCATTAAATACTATCTATTCTTCCCATGAAATGCCTGCAACCATTACACTGTAAAGCTTAGTTTCATTCAAACCCCAGCAGACACACTATTAACAGAAACGATTCAGTAACAGGACATGATATTTAGGTAGCTACTATCTGGCAGGTCAGTGAATGAGGCTCAGAGCTGAAACTTTTATCCTTCTTTCCTCCTTCACCTCCTCTGGATGCTCTGAACTCCCCTATGTGTACAGAAGAGCAATCTGAAGGAAGAGAGGGGAGTGAGGAATCTCACATCTCATATTGCCCATTGGATACCAACGTTGGGTCACAGTGAGATGAGAATTTTGGCCTCTTTCTTATCAGGAAGCAGTAAAGAAAAATGTGTCCCTTCCCTTGGATTGTTTAAGCAGTCAGAAGAAATGATTTCTGGCCCCAGTAAAGGCTTTTATATTAAGAAAACGAGGGCAGAGAACAAACAGATGGCTCAACTTCTCCTCCAAACGTGCCCTGTTGGGAAGAGACTTAACTTTTTCCCTAATCTCTTCAGAACTCAAAGACAAAGGACTCCTTTGAAGACCTTATTTATGGCAGAAAGTTCTTTTAAACTCTAATCACTGAAATGTCTTTTTAAAAGTAGCATCTGAATATCTTAGAAACCCACAGCAGAAACCATGGCAACACTCAAGTTCATAGGAATCTGGAAAGGATATAAGAATGTTTGACCAAGTATCAGTAACTCTGTGGCAAAATGATTGGCTCTTTTTCTTCACAATTAGTGCCATTTTTCAGAAGAGGAATGAACAGACAATCTAATAAGCAGCTAAGGCAATACAGTCTTCTCTTTATCATTAGTATAATGAGCAGCAATTACAAACTAAAACCAAAACATGTATTTACTGTTTACAGTGACTTACCATTATTCTTATCTTGGACACTGGAGCCAAAACTTAAGGGACTCTTCGCAGAAGATAAATGTTCAGAGCTCTCATGTTTGGGGAGAGACTTAAGACTTGGATGAGTTCAGGTATCATGAGCAGAACAAATAACTGTAAAGCATCTAAGTTGCAATGACAGTTGCTTGCAAAGCGTATGATAACAGGTTTTATTTTCATTTCACTTTCATGTACTGGGGTAGGATTTCTTCCTCAAAAAGCACAGAGTGCTTTCTGTGTAGAAGCAAGATCAAACGGTGGAAAATTAAAGTGATAGAAAGAAAAGATGAAAACCAACTGATTCTTCTTTATAGGCATACTATTTTTAAAGGAGTGTAATATTCTCATTTCTAAACATAGCTGACATCCTTGTAGGTGTCAGACAAACTAATAGACTTCAGTAAGTTGCCAAGAATAAGCCTATTTCAAATGTGCATACATTGGCTAAGAGAGAATGGTCACCTAGCCTCACATTTAGCCTTACCAGCTGGAATGGAAGTTCATGTTTTTTCTTATTTTTATTTGCCTGCATATTAATGGAAGGTGAGACATTCCTTCTTTTTAAATTCCAGCTAAATTTCATTATCTTTCTTTAAAAGTTTGGCTCAGTTCTCATCAATATAACTCAGACTTTTGCTATTTTGATTCATTTATACCAACTATACCTTTTTCCTATACAAAAATTTGAACTGAAAACACTCTCAGAAATTGAATAAAAAAAGCAGAATAGAGTACTAGATTGGTGCCATGTGTTAGACAAAAAAAATGAAGATGCATTCAAGAAACTGATGACAAAGACTGATAAGGCAACTGAATATTTCATATAGATCACAACAGATTTTTTTTTACCTTGTGTAACTAAATCTTAGGAAAGCTAAAACAAAGATACATTTTTTCATGTATTTTTAGAAGAATTAATGTGAAATCCAACCTTCATGCTCATAGCAAGCTCATGCACAGCGTTAGAATTTTGGACTCTTTTAACCTTCTATTTTTGCATTCCAGGAAGAAGAATAGTTTTTATTGCACAAACTATCATTAGTAAATGGCTCAAAGACAGAAGAAAAATAAGGTGAAGTTACAGACTTCAGAAATAATAGTGTGGACGCTGCTGCTTTCAATGGCAGCAGAAGTCAAGACCCTCTAGTCTGTGAGAGCAATGCCAGAAAAGCTGAGGTCAGCATTTTCAGTGGGAAGAGCCAGCTGTAGTAAAAATTCTCTGCTCCTGATTCTATGGAGCCAAGGGTCTGTTGGCAAAAAGCTTTTAATATGGATTGGAAAAAAAAAATAGTATTTCACATATCTGCAAAACACTCTTGATATTGGAAGGTATCAGGTGGCCTGGAAGTCATTCATTTGCCGGCCTTTCATGTTCTACCACACTGGAGGTCACTTAGACTTTTAAAAGACATCCTTCAAAAAATTTTTTTTAAAAATCTACATTCCTAAGAGTGGAACACTAAAGATTAATCCCAAGAGATGCCTGCGAAAGTAGAAACCTTGTAATATCTAGCACTTAAATGAGCACTTTTAATCTATAGAAACAAAAATTGTATTGTCTACCTGTTCTCATGACACAAGAAAAAAAAATGCATCTAACATAAACCACAGTAAATTTAAAACTGATAAAAGGAAACATCTGACCACTCAGCGCATAATTAATTAGCCAGCAGAACTCTTTTACATCAGATGCGACTCAGGTGAGAATAGCGATCTATCGCTTCTGGAACAGCCTATTCTCAAGTAGCTAGTACCTCTGTCAAACTCCAGACAAAAAACAAAAGAAAAGGAATGTGCCACTTGGGGGATCTTAGGTTCACTCCACTGAGCTCTGTGTGAGAAACCACTAAGAGTACACTCACAGAGCATCCTCTTACTTGTTCTGGTTGTCCTCCAAGGCAGGAAGCAGGGGATACAAATCTTTCATTATTGTACCTGATTCAAAGAGGGAATCTGAAGTCATGTTTCCCCACATAATTGTCCAGTACCTTAGAAATTATGGAACCAGTAACTTTTCTGAGTTTGTTTCTCCCAGTGTTTCCTGCTAAAAAGTTTGAGCTGGCCTTAGATTCAACTATGAGAATGCTTGGAAGATTGCAGCACCTCTTTCCACACTAGAGTTTGGCACTCAAGTATCTTCTCAGAACATGTCTTGTGCTTTGCTCATTTCTTTGGCATTTCTTTGGCATTTCTTCCTTGCTGGCTTCTGCAAAACCCTTCTGTGCTTTCTGTATGGCACCTGGGTAATTAACTAAGAACTAAAAATCTCTGCATAGCAAAACACCTCAGTACTTCTGTGGATTTAGGTCAACTCATTTACAAATCACTTAGCATGCGTTGATAAGAAAACCAGGAATCCCATTTGTTCAGTGGTGGTTACAGAGTGCTCACAGAAGGAGATAAAGACCATTCTGCTTAAGTAGATGAATAATCCATGGCAAACAGAGTCTCTAACATGATATTTTAAGAATGCTTTCTAGTTTCAAAGCACTATTATTATTTTTTTTCTTTTGACAGTGCTTTTTCTGCTATATAGTTCTGCTGAAAGCTGCTTTTCTCCATTACACCGTTCACTGTAATTGTCTGGACTTCTACTGCAGTCTGATTGCACAGTGTCTGACCTATGGCTCATTGAGAGCATTCGCCTGCAAGATCCCCTGACGTTGCTTTGAGTTACAGGGAAAGAAAAACCTAAAACTATGATCAGTAGGGAGTACAGTGTTTAGTGTGATATTGCCACTGGTATATTACTTAATGTTTTCATGCCCATGAGTCCATGAAGTTCAAAATCTACAGATCAGGGTAGGCTGAGCTCTCAGGGGTTCATTGTTTTAATTAGAATTAACTAGGAAAACGAATTTGAATACATAATTTCCTAATTAAAATGTAATCTACTTAATAAAAATTTCAACTTACTGGTTGGCTTATATGCTATTTTAATGTTTATCATATGTACTTGGGAACGAATGCATTATCTCTCCACAAAGCATGAAACTAAAAAAATAGTTAAAGGCAGGAGAAACAGAAAAAAAAAAAGTATTATCAAATTGACTAGATAGATTAAAGTTTTACTGTGTTTATACACTGAAACATTTCAATGAACGGAGCACAGTGTGCTGAAAGCAAGATTTTCATCTTTATGGACAGAAAATGCTAACACGAAAAATTCTAGGGGTGCTTGATTTTATTTCTGAGGCTAACAAAAATACCGGCCTTGGAAATATGAGTTACGTACAAAACAAATAGACAATAAAAGACCATAAATGAAGAGCAGCTATTTTATGCTCAGGAAGGACAATGCAAACTCTCCAGGAATGTCTCTAGTTTTTGTTAGATTACAATTTCGGTATTAGAACAATAGGAGAGTAAAAGAGTTTTCAGGTGCACATTGATTCAATAAATAACTTCTGAAGAACAATCATGAACCAAAGAATTTCATCCAAATTGAAGCTAAGATCATAAGACATTTATCCATTAGTATGACTATGTCTGTGGGAAGTATGCACGTGCGTGATGGTGCTCAGTGTTTCAGATAGTTATTTTTTAAGCTACATAGACAATTCTCCCTTCAATTCTGCAGCTGGACATCCTGGAATCCTGGGCTATTACAGATTTATGTTACTGCTGAATTACCTGAGAGAACAAGAAATGCCTTGTCATATTGGTAATGTAAACAGCCAATAAACCCTTCCCAAAGGCTCTGGACAACCATTTAAAACAAAAGATTTCTGTTCATCTTCAGAGTGATTGCAATTAACAGCCTGCTAAATGAGACCGTGATCTCAAAATGCCTGTTCCTCAGGATTATCGGGACTGTACCTGCAAATTGGAAATGAACAAGTGCTGCTGCTCAAGATACACCACAGCTCGCTCCCAGACTCTTGCGAAGCCTTAACTGGCTTGGTGATGGGTATGGTTAGGAGAGATGTGAATTGAGATATTTGGGACAGAAGAGCCTCATGATTTATCTGAAATCAGCTCTGTAGGAAGGGTATAATATCTTGTCATACATTACCAGTTACAATTGTAAAGAAGGTTATGAATGCAGTGAAGGTTTAAAACTCTTCAGATACATATTCTCTCCCTTGCGAAGTCCACTAACTAGCTGTACTGGTTTTGGCTAAGATTGAGTTAAATGTCTTCACAGTAGCTTGTATGGGGCTATGTTTTGGATTTGTGATGAAAACAGCGCTGAGAACACAGGGATGTTTCAATTATTGCCAAGCAGTGCTTACACAGCATCAAGGCCTTTTCCGTTTCTCACACTGCCTCGCCAATGAGCAAGCTGGCGTGCACAAGAAGGGACCAGAGGGGACACAGCTGGGACAGCTGACCCCAACTGACCAAAGAGACATTCCTTACCATATGACACCACGCTCAGCAATAAAAGCTGGGGGAAGAAATAATAAGAGGGGGACATTTGGAGTTATGGTGTTTGTCCTCCCATTTAACCATTACACGTGATGCAGCCCTGCTCTCCTGGAGGAGGCTGAACACCTGCCTGCCCATGGGAAGCAGTGAATGGATTCCTTATTTTGCTTTTCTTGCATGTGCAGCTTTTGCTTTACCTATTAAGATGTCTTTATCTCAACCCTTGAGTTTTTGCACTTTTACCCAGATTCTCTCCCTGATCCTGCTGGGGGGGAGTAAGCAAGCAGCTGTGTGGCACTGAGCTGCCCAAAGAGTCAAACCATGACATGAGCATGTGTTCAACTCAGCCACTATGTTTCTTGTAATCATAACCTCGAAACTAACTATATTTTCAAAACCAGCTCAGTTTCCAATAAATGGTGCACGATTAACCATAAAATGGATATGCCTAATAAAAAAAACGGCAAAAATCAGGACTAGTATCCTCAATACCTTTTGTTCAAAATTTTAACTCTGTTTCAAGCCTCTAGCAGAACTTAGTCAGAACCACCAAGCCATACTCAACTCTGACTGAAGCTCATGCAAAGTCTAAAACATGCATAAGCATCCACATACAAACCTAACTAGCTTTTACAATTACGTAGCAAACCCTTC